GGGTTTAGGAGGGTTGTCAAGAGACATTGGGGAGAGGGAAGCAAGAAAGGAAAGGGGAAAGATGAGAGAGATTTTGGGAGCAAGAAAGGTAAACCAGAGGGAAATTAAAATAAGAAAGAAAAAAAAAGGAGGATAAGGTGATAGAGGGAGGGAGAATGAAAGGGAGGAAATAGGGGAGAGGAGAGGAGGGAGCGGAGAAGAGAAAGGGAAGGAAGAGGGAGCAGGGCAGGGTAAGTAAGGGAGGGGAAAATAAGAAAAAGGTGAATCCAAGGCGAGCAAAGAGGAAGAGAGGCAGTATCATACAATCATCCTTATAGGCTTCACGTGGATATAGCAAGTAAATAGAAGAGAGTAGTTAGGAAGCAATCTCGCTCTGAAAACTTGCAAGTGAAACACATGAAAAGTAAAGAAAAAGAAAAAAAAAACAAAAGAAAAGGCAAGTATGAAAATATTTATTATTATTATTTTTTTAAAGTGGTGTTAAAATAGAAGTGAGAGATTTGCAATCCAGAACAAAGTGTAGCAGATTTGAAGAAGAACAAAGAGTTACATAGAAATGTTGAAGATTCTCAAAAGCACATATGTGTTAGTGTGTATAAGTGAAGAAAAGAAAGTGGTTTTGAAGGTGCCAAGGTAAAAGCAATAAATGTTAAAAGAAAGAAATGGGAAAAAAAAAGTGTAAAGAAAAAGAGATGGAGTTCAAGGGAAAGCAAGTAAATGAGTTAAAAAAAAAGTGAGAGAATTAGATATAATAATAATAATAATAATAATAATAATAATAATAATAATAATAATAATAATAATAATAATAAATAGTGGTAGAATTAATGGTGTGTAACAAGTAAATGATATAAAGGATGAGGGGTGTGATCTAATCGATATTGCCCACAAACATGTAAGATTAAGCATAATGATAACATCAATCATGAATAAAATTTCTTCAAATATTTAATGTTAATTGGGGAAGGTAAGGGTGTACCATCAGCATGAGCTAAGCGATAGGCAGAGGTAGAGTATGCAGTAATTATGACAAATGGACATTCCTAATTAGGATGGAACTTACCATGGCGATGAAAACATTGTTTGAGTACCAAATCACCAACATTAAAGCTACAACACGCTTATTATAACAACGAGCAATGCGTTTTTGATATGCATGCATGTGATCAAGAGCATGTAACCGGTGTTCTTCTAAGAGATCTAAGTGGTGTAAGCGTGATTGACGGCGTGTATCATAGGGGATTGTGTCATGCAAAGAAATGCCTAAAGATTGTAATTCTAACTCCATGGGTAAAACAGATTCAGTGCCATAGACAAGTGAATAAGGTGTAGAGTCTGTTGGTGTTCTAAAAGAGGTGTGGTATGCTAGGAGAGCTGGAAATAATTTAGTTGACCAGTCATTTCCTGATTCAGAGATTGTTATTATAAGGATGCCTTTTATTATTTTATTTGATATTTCAGCTTGTCCATTGGATTGGGGATTATAAATTGTTGAAAAACGGTGCTTGATGTGTGGTAGGCATTGCATAGTTCATCTACATCTTGATTGTCAAATGGTTTTCCATTATCGGTGACAATGGATTCGGGTATGCCGTAACGACATAAGAGGTGTTGTTGGTAGATGAAACGAACTATAGATTTTGCGTCTTGAGATTTTAGAGGGGCGACTTCTACCCATTTAGTAAAGTAATCTGTTGCAATGACGATGAATTTATTACCATTAGAGGGTTCAAAAGGTTTGACAATATCAATAGCCCAAGAACAAAATGGCCAAAGAATGGTGACATTGTGTAAAGATTCAGCTGGTGGATGGATGAGTGGAGAGTGATACTAACAAGGATGACAATGTTTTACATAATCATGCCAGTCTTTGACCATGGTGGGCCAGTAGAAACCCGCCCTAAGGATCTTTTTAGCTAAAGCATGACCGTTAAGGTGGCCACCATAAGGGCCAGAATGGGCATTTTCCATGGCTTTGGTGGTTTCGGGTGGTAACAGACAACGACAAAGGGTGCCATCGAAGGATCATCTATAATAGGTGTCACCTAATATGACGTAGTGTTGGGCACGTCGTCTAGTTAAGGATTTGGCAACAGAGAAATCGGGCAGAGTACCATGTCGTCTAGTTAATTTTGAGGGCTTGAAGCAAGTCCAAGTTGTCCAACTTGACTTCATAGCGGGAGCGGGGTACAAGTTAAAGTCGGGTTGCCCGATTTGAAAAACTTCAACCACATTGGGCTCAAGTTAAGGTTTTGGCCCATTGAAAACTTGAAAGTTCCCAACCCAATTCTATTCAAGTTGCAACACTGGAGTTTAAGTAAAGCCCAGATTTTTGGTTAAAACCTGAGTGTAGGGCCTAGAAATCTAAGCCCAAGGAAAAAACCTTGGGTGATAAATTGTTGAAAAAACTCAATTTGAGACTGCCTATCGATCAATCTAAATGTCAGCATTGTATGCATGAATATAAAAAATAATGAAGTTATTGAAAAGATAACTTTGGGGACATGTTTGGTTCTTTGCCATATGCCCCATTCTTTTAATTCTTATTCATTTTAGGTGAGAATGGGCAAGAATACATGAAGACATTTGCCATGTTCGAATTAATTCTCATTCTTTCTCATTCTTGCTCAATATGAAATTTTAAAATGGACAAGAATGGGTAAAAATAGGCAAAATGAGAAAATATTGCTATGAACCAAACACTTTTTTTCCTAAAAATGAATTCTTTTCAGGTTGACAAGGTTGCTCATTTTCATTCTTCAAAAAAAAAAATGTACCGGTATTCATAAACTGCCAACCTAGGTCTCCAACAGTCAATGTTTACCAATTGGCATAGATGTTTTGCAAAAGTACTTTTGTAAAAGTGCTTTTATAAAAATAGTTTCGTAAAAGTGCTTTTATAAAAGTATTTTCATAAAAATGCTTTTATAAA